TCGAGTTTTAATCAGAAAAATTAAAATTTTCAATAGTTTTCCGAGTTCAATGTATCAACAAATGGTATGTACAACAGTGAAATAACATGGTCAGGTTTAATTACAATTATTTTATTAAAATTTATTGATAAAATTGTTGGATTAAAAATTGAACATGATGAAGAATTAAGTTTAGATGAATAAGAACATGGAGAACAAGCTTATGGTTGGAAACATTCACTTATAAATAATTCATTAACTGAAGAACAAATACATTCAATCGTTAATGGTTCGGTTAATCATCATATAAAAGCTGAACAAAGAAGAATTTCAATTATCTCAACTATTATTAAACAATCATTAATTAAATGATCATCGGTTTCAAATAATATTTCAAAATTAGAGGAAACTATATAACAATCATTTAATATAGAGTGTGATTATTTTATTTCTAATTATGTTCTAAAAGGTTGTAACTGATATTAGATCTATTAAATATAATAATAATTTGTTACTTTAGATAAAATAATTTTTTTATTTCGAGTTCTTATGGTTGAATGTGTAAACCGATGCATTGATTTATACTAACAGCTGAATTTATCATAACTTTTTCCTCTGTCTTCGTGGTTAGATGGAAATTTTCGATAGTTCTTTTAAAAATTTCCTTGGTTTTGTTAGACTTGATTTGAAACTATTGCAACTGATCTGAAGTCACTTTAACCTAGACTTGGGTTGTAAATATCGAAATGACATTTGATTATTTTACTAAAAATTTTTCAAAGAAAGTGGTTTGGTGTAGAATATCATAAATGAATTGTTTTGACTTATAAATTTACGTTTGAAGTTGATTATAGTATATTTTATTAATGGCAAAATGAAAACGATAGAAAGTTATCCTGAAGAACTAAATGACAATAAAACTAGACAAACCATGTAAAGAAAAGAAAAATATTCGATTTTAATTAATCTACTTAATTTTTAATCGATTTGAATCGTGACGGCAGTAAATCGTAATTTTATCGAGTTTTAATCAGGAAAATGAAAATTTTCAATAGTTTTCCGAGTTCAATGTATCAACAAATGGTATGTACAACAGTGAAATAACATCAGACACATTTGACACACTTCGAGATAGGATATAAACTTATACTTAATCATTAAAAAACTGACGACAATATCAGTTAACATCGATTACTTTTTATTGAACTAATTAAGATTTAGATTTCAGGTTGAAAGAGGAATTTCATTAGATTTTAATCTATTTTTAAAAAAAATAGCGAATAAAGCCTGGTTTTTGTGCTTGCTTTTTTTTTGCATTGGGAGAGCATCCAACAAAACTAATCCTAAATATGTTAAACTTTTTAAAAAATCGAGTATATGTTTTTGTATCGCAGCGTCAGTGGCTAAAAACTTTCGACTTTTGTTGACGTTTTGTCGTTGACTCAGTCGATCGGGTAACACTATTACGTATGCTTTAGTATTTTTAAGGTGAAAACAACAGGAACTAGAAATGATACTGGATTTATTTACATTAGAAAATGGAACACAACGAGTTATATAAAGTTGAATTCATTGTATATTTTGTGTTTATTATCTTCATGATTTTTTCATTAAAAACATATAAAATAAATGAAGCTTCTGATGATAAAAATGGACATGAAAATCAATGTACTTATGATCTACTAAGAATATCAGTACTACTGTAGTTATATGATATCTTATAGAAAGCTTGCGAGAACATTTTCTCTCTGTAAATACTGATAGACAACACAATAATCGGATAATTCTGCTAGATTTTATTATTCTTTAAGTGAGATAATTATGATAAAATCTGTTTATTTTTACTTTATATGGATATGGAGATTTTTCTCTTTTATATTAAAGTAGTTGTTGAAATAAATATATACAGACAATAACTAGACATAGTAAATAATAGTCTATCTTTAGTGATCAGGCTTCATCTCTCAAAACACTTAGTCGTGTTGTCATTCAGCAGATTATTTGCGATTCTTTCAAGCTGAAAAAAAGTTACTGTTTGTTATATAATCAAACAGATGATCGATTCCTGATGGGTTGAACAGAATCGAATAGGAAAAATAAATTTATTAAAACTTGAGTAAGAACCTTGTAAAGTGATGAATTATGCTTTTATCATAAATAAATTAGTCGAAAATGATCAAACGCTGTCGAAATACTAGACAGAGATTCTCAACCGAAAGTGATTTGACGTAATCGTTTTGTTTCAACGATCTCACAATTTACTTTCTTAAAGTCAACAGTTTGAGTTTTAATCTATTATGTTTAATGAGGGTAAAATATCGATTCCTAATATTAGATCTGATATTGCTTCGAACTTGTTTTCAACGAAATGAAAAAAAAAAATCCTCCGTTGCTAAGTCATCAATTATTTTGAATCGAAAGGTATCATGAGTATCCTACATCTAACTGTTTCTCTGGATCTAACATCATGCAAATTTTTATTATTTGACTTGATAAAACAAAATTTAAACAATCAAGACGATTTTGAATTGTTGTATTATGTTATGAAAAGTAAAGAGAGTCATTGAATAAAGAAGAATGTAAAAGAAATTTTCATCAATCGAATCGATAAAATTATACATAAACAGCGAAGATAATTACAATGACATTTAATGAAATAATAACTTGATATAAATGTTTATAGAGTTATTTTTCTTCTCCTATCAATATTATCATATTTATTGAAGAATAATAAAATATTAGTCGAATTAGAGATCATTATTTTGTTTGTCACGACATATGACTGCATTTATGCAGCTTTTTAATGCGATTGAAATATAGTAACTTAATTAAACGATTGTTAAATATAACATTTAATTATAGTAAATGGTACTTTAATATATAATAGGATAAAGTTTTTTCGATATATTATTGAATATTATGAATGCGATATATGGTGTATAAAAATGTTTCGTTTTACGATAAAGGTGTGTAGTTATTGTCTAGTATTTAAAGTTGAATAGTAGTGTAGTTAATATGGATTTAAGAAAGAATAATTATTTAAAATAATGACTAAATAACAATATATTTAAGATTAATTTGAGTTGATAAAAAATAAAAATAGTTAATCGTTAATGAATGATTTAAGTGTATGTTTTTTTATTATTTAAAACATTTTAACTTTGTTTTTAATCGTAAAATAAATATTAAATAATAAGATAATAAAACAAATTAAAATTTCTGTTTATTCCTATTGTTGAATTAAATTATGTTTTAAATCGATCATTCTCTTATAATATTTTATTATATTTTTATTTTTCACTTAAAAATGTTTCATAATCAAATTTTTTCTCTTTATTAAACGATAATTTCGTGAAATGTTTCAAATATATTCTACTCTTTCAAGTTTTAAGACTATATTCTTCTTCCTCTTTTTTTTTAAAATTTTCTCTATATTTTTCACATTGACATAAGTAATTTAACTTCTCTATTGGTTTTTTTTTTGTAGTATGGATATTATTATCTAATATATTTTAAAATAAATTGTTAGAATTGAATATAAAAACTTCATGAAATTTATCTTTTAATCAACCTCTTACAGCGCATCATCAATGCCTTTACAATATTTTTATTGTCGAAATAGACTTTTTATATTTTTTATCTATTTATATATGAGAATAATGAAAGTTTTATTTTCTATTTTCGATTTTCGATTTTCTATTTTCGACATAAATCCTATTATATTGATATAAAACCTGTAATAAATAAGATTATTTTATTTAATTAGATAATAAAAGAGAATTATATGAGTGAATTTTTATTTTAAACAGTTACATTGATATCTAAGAATAATTGCAATGAGGTATATTCAATATATTCAATATATTCAATTATTAAATATAGGTATATTTTAAGTTTGTTGACAATTATTATAATGATTATATTGAAAAATGATCTGCTTTGAATAAAGGTAAATATATTATTGATAAGAGTGACATACATATTCAATGGAAACTCGTACACTTAAAATTTTGTCAAGTGTTTGAAAATTTTTTAATATGTTTATTAGAATTGAATTGATGATTATTTGATTAAAGAAAATGATATATAATTATGTAAGTTAAATCGATATTCTATTGAGTTAAATGAAAACTAAGCAAAAGAATAATGATTATTGAATTCTATATTAAAATTTTCATTTATATATCGATAAAAAAATGAACAAAATTAATTGACTCTTAAAGATAATCAATAGAAGAACTAAAAAGTTTATTTCGTTTTTGTTTTTGTTTTTTTAATTTTATGAAATGGAAAAATTTTTCTTTTATTAACTTATTTGTTTTATTTTGTATGAA